AAGTTCATCATTCGCTTCCCCTGAACAAAACTCAGAGCCTCCCTGAGTAGTGAAACCATGCTGATAGGAGGAAATGGAGTTGAGAAAGGAAGTGTAGGCAACTTAGACAAAAAAAGTCATTAACTTTTTCATCATATCCTCATCAACTAGAGGAAATCTCTAATATATCTAACATTTTGGATAAGTTGCTTCTATATTAGGCTAGCAGTTAAGCTTCAGAAAAATAGCTTTGGAAAAGAAAATGTAATTTACGCCTCACGTACATAAAAACATGTTCAAAATTAGGAAACATCTCTATGTGTCACACTCCACAATATTAAAACTAGTCTCTTTATAAGGACCCACTAATGATATAATCTGCTCTTTCTGCACAAAAAAAAGGCCCTTTCGTAGAATCATAGAATGCTTAAGGTTGGAAGGCACCTCTAGAGGCCATCTAGTCCAACCCCCCTGCACACGCAGGGTCACCTAGAGCACGTGGCACAGGACTGCGTCCAAGCGGGTTTGGAAGATCTCCAGAGAGGGATATTCCGCAGTTGCTACATTTACTTTTCTCTCTATCCAATGAACAGAACAAATAATTTCTTAGAACTTCTTAGCAACTTTTGTACCTATCAAGACATGCCCTTTTCTAAACATCTAGAGAAATTCCCTTATGCTAAGCCACTGCAGTTCCAGACAGTGCAGAATTATTTCCTCCCCTGCGATCCATGCCTTTACAGAATATGGGCTTGAATTTTTGTTTTGTTTCTTTTTTTTTCTAAATTCTAATGCCTGTGCCATTACTGCAGGATTATAAAGATGAATTAAAGTAAACCAAAGTTGTAATTGGCTCACAGATCTCCTCCTTCATCTGCTTGATCACAGAAAAATGAAGCAAGCCATGTATACAGTGAGTGCGTGGCGGATTTTGCAAGAGAATATATAATGTTTATTTCCTACAGGCTTAGCCCCCGAGGGCTCCAGTAACCACAGAGTAAATGGAGTGAGAACAGCCTTCCAGAGCATCGCACCAGCCTCAGACCCTCACAAATAATGGGTCTTTCAGCCACTAAAATAATAATGGCAAAAAAAAATAAAATCGGGTAATTTGCTCTGAAGTGTGATTGCTGAAATCAGGGGAAACAATGATAATTATAGATCGCTACTAGTCTTCCCTTCCAACATCTCTGCCTTTGAGCAGCCTGACCCAAAGGAGACTTGCTTTTAAACTGTACATATCACGTTCTATTAAAGGGTGCTCTGGAGGAGCAGTTCTTGAGAGCCATTGCCAATAAGATAGATCAACGTTCTGGCCAATAAAATGTTGTTGGCATTTGTAAGGAAGGCAGGGTATTTATCAACCAATCAGGCTCACTTCTATCAATAATCTTGGCTAAATTTAAGATTTTACAGTCCATTTTTCATACTTCATAAAATTCATGTTTCCCTTGTCTTGAAACTTTACTCAAAAGAATTTTCTAAGTGCTGCTATGCTCCTGCAAGGCTATTTCCAACTGTTAGGCAACAAGCCTATTTTTTTGTGTATGACCAAAACAATAACAAAGGTGATTACTTTGAAACCCTAGTGCCGCCTTATGAAAAAATACCTGCTGGATAAGAGATGCCATGAGTCCATCTTTAGGGCACTCAAACCCACAGGATTTCTTGCAAGAATCAGGGAGAGGAATGAAGAGTAATGAATGAGAGTAATACAAATCTCTCAGAAGGTTTACAAAAATCTTAACCCTCTGCAAAAAAAAAGGCACTTCAGAAATAACAGGAAAGAGAAAGTCTTGGCAGAATTTCCATCCAGCTGCCACAGGACTGCCTTATGTTGAAATTAAATGGAGTCATTTATTCTAAACAATAGCATTTAGAGGCTGCGAAAGGCCAGCAGAGCATTACAAATAAAATCAACTTAGGTTCTATCTATATTTGCACACCTGGAAAAGGCAGCTCATCTTCACAGGGAAAGACCCAGCAAACGAATAAAGCAGCTGAAACTGTTTCTCTATTCAGATTGCAAGCCTGCTGATAGTTTATTTTTGTAATTTACACATTCCTTAATTTCTATTCGCATCAAGAAAACACTATAAAATTCTGTTGAATAAAATCTGTGCCCTGGCATACCTTGTTTTTCATACCTTGTTTCAGCTGACAGGTAGCCTACAGGCATTAGAAGAGATGGTTGAAAGGTGGGGATACAGCAAGAAAATCTCTTGCATTTCCAGTCCTGAGGTCTTGCAGTATACCTTCATATTCCTCTGCCTTTCAGAAATTGTTCTGGAAGGAGATTATAATGAAAGCTGTAAAACTTGCTCATATCAACAAGCATGTATCTATTTCAGTTATTCGATGTGAATATTTTCTTATAATCCTCACCTTAAAATACCAACTATTTGCAACATGTTTATACATACATTGTAAATATGTGCTGTGGGTCGCTTCAAGACTGTGATATTCCATTAGTGCTATATATCCTTCTCATCTTCCCTATAGCATTAGTGCTATATATCCTCCTTCATCTGAAGTATGTGTACCTATCTTTAAAAAGAATGAGGTAAGTGGAAGAAAAATTAATACATGCCAACAACTGTTAATAAAATGAAACTAGTCAAAAGCCACAATGTGACTAAGTCTCTTACTACTAATAAGTATGGGAATAATCAATAGCCTTCTTTTTGGAAAAATCTGTGTGCCAGTGTGCACAGTCACTACAAATCAAGATAAATTATAGGACACAAAGTTAAAATTTAATTATAAAAAAAATGTTTTCTTGGCAATAACAGAGCCACAGATCCAGAATCTTTCATAATGAGTTTCGGTTTAGGTCAAATGACTAGTTATGGAAAAAGACGACTGGCCAGGAGCCTAAAAATGAATTGATTAAATACTTCCAGTGCCCCATTCCAACTTGATTACTCATTTTCTGCTTCTAATTTATCTAATGTCTCCTCTTTATTCCTTTTTAATACAGAAATTCCCATAAATTTCCTGAGTCCAGAAGCCTCATAGTCAACAAAAGCTTATATAATATTCATTCATGATATTCATTTTTCTTCTGCTCTACAGAAAAGAAATACAGCATTGAAGTAATCTAAGGTGGAATAGGTCAGAGGATTTCTAAATTTCCTTGAAGTGTAAGATGATCATTTACCTTCACTACTGATCTGATCTTTGGCTCTTCCTTTCTATAGGAGTGCAAAAAATAATATAACATCATAGAAAAATAAAGATCAGACTTGCTATCTTGCTATCTTAAAAGCAATAAAAATTAAAAAAAATAAATCTGCAATGACTTTGATGTATTTTATAGGACAATATAATCTTACTTTGCCTTATTAGGGAGTGGGAAACAGGTTAATAGGACCAAAAGATAAAGGAATTTGGGTAACCAGTGACTATACTTGTGGTATTACATGAATAAAGGCTTTATCTCAAGAGAAATGGTGATGCTCAACAGGCACTACTTCCCATCAAAACAAAAAAAGATACAGTTACCCCAGAATGGCTGAGATGATAGACAGGTAGATCCTCTATGTTGGTGAAAAGAAAAGGATGGGAAGTAAGCTTGCTATCATCCACGTATAATTCAGTCAGAAAGCTTTAAATGACTTATTATCACATAACTGGTCAGCTTTACCCACCTCTGTTTTAAATTACTAATGTATTTTTAAGCAAACAAATTATTTCAATATAATACTGCACTGGCAGTATCTTAACAGAGCTAGGATTTTGTCGGGTTTTCCATTGTAAAGGTCTATTTTCAGAAGTCTGAGCTATAAATTCGTGGGGAGAAAGAAACCTTCTGGGGCATGAGGGAATAGAATTTGACTTAAAAAAATCTCAGTCCAGGAGAAAATATCTTTTTCTGACCAAATATATATAGAGAGAATGAGTTTAAAGACTGAATACACAGTCAATTATTCTACTGTCTAAGCAGTGTTAACTCCTCCTGTCAAGGAAAAGCAATAGCTTTTAGTGTGATCAATAAGTATGGCTGTTTGGCATATTAAAGGTGTTTTTTATTGTATTTGGGCCTCAGCTTTTTGAGGTAATGGAATCTGGGTTTCCCAGAGAGCTACACTGGGATCTGATCCAACATATTCAGATTCATTAGCAGTGACTTTGTATCCCAAGGTAACTCTTTGGAAGAAAACAAATACATCTGGATTTCACATATATTGAAATGCAAAGCTGCAAAAGGAAATGCAAAAGTAACTATTTCATTGCCAATGCACTATAGCTGGAGCCTAACCAAAGTCCAAAATGGAGCTGACTGCAACTGGGGGAATTTAAATAGCAACTATACTGTCCACAGCACACTACAGTGAAGAGCTCCTTCTTCTTCCTTAAAACAATGCCACAGGTCATGAGATAATAAGAACCATATAGCCATTAGCCATACACAAAAGGTGTGTTTCTTTCCTTTAGAAATAGTTTGAGATATTGTCTTTTTTTTCCCCAGAACCTCAAAGAAGTTGGAGTTAAGCTGTATTCAAATTGCTTTATCAAATTCTGCAAACAACCAAGCGGTGAGTTGCATCCCTGCGAATAAAAGGCCACATAGCAGGCAGCCACCTATAAAATAAAGTCTGCATGTGATGCATGATGATCCAAATCTATAAGTTTTCTGAGCGGATCTCAGAAGAAAAAATTAGTATAATTATTTCTCTTTAATGACTTTGTAAATATGTGGCCTTGAAAGTTGGCCTCCAAGGGATGCAGTTTCTAGTAATTTTATCATAAATTAGTGGTGATAAAGTAGCCTTTGAATTCTCGGGGGTGGGGGAGGGGACTCCATTTTTTCCTCCGTAGCATTTATTGGCATATCCCTCTGGTAGTCACAGCCTTCACTGGCCTCGTAGCGGGGGTAAAGTGTTTTCATTCGGTGGACATTTCACCAGCACAGAGCCCTGCGGCAGCAGCTGGCGTGCAGGGGCCTGCGGGAGCGAGCGTCCTCCCCGGCCACCCGCACCTCGCGTCCCCGCTCCCCGGGCTCGTTGGGAACACGGGCCATGAGCCCCAGCATCCGTACGCGTGGCAATGCACGAGATCCACGGGCCGGAGCTTGGATCCTGTCCCGCCACTCCGGCGATAATAACCGCATTCCTCAGCGCCGCCTGGCCCCAGTTGCAGCGCACAAGTGCACGGAGGAGGAACGGTAGAGCAAACACAAGGCTAAGCTCTCATTGTAAAGTTGGAAACGAGTTAGAAAATGAACATAAATTCTCCTAAAAACGTACAGAGTTTATTTATGAAAATCCCTTTTTGGCTCTGTACCTTTCATTTAGGGTATCTAAGAAATGGCTCAGCTGTTAGACCTGCAGAAACCTCTCACAGCAGACCGCCCCTTTCCTGCTTGCAGCACTGAAACCTTTCAGTTTCTATACTGAAAGTTATCTTTGGAAGGCAGAGACTTAACACCACCCCTTCATGCTATATCTTGTGCAGTCATTCTCCTGATCCACTCCCTCCCCTTTTTTCACTCTAATATGACAGATTATTACTGGTTTCATCTCTACATCCACTGCTCCACCAACCATTTGCCGGCATCAGACAGCAGCGTAGAGGCGTTGGGTTACCTGTTGTCTCATTTTGCCCAAGTGAGCAGATGTGTTCTTTTACCACACATTATACTTCTTTGCATAATACTAATAGGCAGAGTAACTTAGTACTTATTATTATATTAATAATAATTAAATTATTAAAATGCAAATAGAGCAAAATTCAGTGC